TGCCCTTATCTGCCCTGCTTGCTGCTCTTTGTCTTGTGCCATCTGTCTGAATCTGTCAGAGCCTCTCTCTGCATTTCTCTCCAAAACCTGAAATCATGGCTTTGATCAGCTGCTCTCTCAACGCAATTGATCAAATTTTCTCGATGGGAAAACCAGACAAAGGAGAGCCCGCCTGCCCTGACGGAACGTTTGCAACGGGATACACGATGGACTCCTGGAAGGAGTGGCGGGTCATGTGCCTCTCTATACTTTCTTCTGTCGAGGATGTTGAAGACGTCTACATAATTGGGATTACAACAGGCTTCCTGCTGTTTGGAGTTTGCAGGTTCCTGTTTTATCGCAAAGTTCGGAAGACAGAGGCAGCACTTTTGGCAATTGAGAAGCTGCCCGTCACTGAGGGAATGTTTCGGGCTGCCAACACTCAGACTCAATATGCAAACTCAATAGCAAACTGGATGGGATTCCAGGATTTATTCGCAAGATGGGTACCAATTTGGACGCGCCTCGTGGCTGTGTGCTCCCTCCAGTGTCTGAGCTGTGACACCTCCCCTTCCCAACACCCTTCCTCCTCCCATGCATGCAAGTCTAGGAGTTTTTTGTTGTGATGTTTTTATTATGTTGCTTTTGTGCTGAGGTGTTTTTTTCCTAATCCCACACTGTGCCCCCCCAGAGCAGCCTAGTTTAGGAATTGCCTTTTTTCCCCTCGTTTTTCCTCTTGTTTTCCTTTTCCTATCTAATGATAAGGGCCGTGGCTCATGCTCGCTGTCCCAACAGTTCCTCCCTCCTGTCTCCCCATTATTGGTCACTGTCTTTTTATGTTTCTTGGACGGGATGTAACTGGTAATTTCGTTGCTCTGTACTTGTGACATGTGCAATGACAATAAAGTTCTGACTGACTTCTGCATGTTCCTGCACACTGGAAATAGTTCTACTGCTTTTTATGACTTTTGTAATTCACTGGATTTGCTACGCTTGCTGTTAATTTGATTTTTAACACTTACTGTCTACTGATTTGCAACATCCTTTAAAAATGTTAAACGTGTTCATGTTTACTATTAAGTCACACTCCCTGTATGTGAAAACCTACTTGGCAATAAAACAGATTCTGAAATAGCTAAACAACTGATTGAAGCAGTCACGGTGAGGGTTAACAACGTCCTCCTGTAGCTGAATCCTAAATTGGATCCCTCAGTAATTTTAATTCTGTTCAGGTTTCAGCATTAAAATGAAAACCATAAATGACAAACACTCTTCACCTTCTGTGCTGTGATGTTTATTTTCCACCACCATCTTTCACTGAGTACAAACATTACACATAATCAGCCTAAAGTCCCGGTTTCACCATTATCAAATTAACCCTAGTCTGTTACAGCTGGAGTATAATCTGTTGCTTGAAAATGAATCCTGCTACCATAATTGAACCTTGCAAACCAGAAATTTCATAAAGGAGAGCTCAAAGTTTAATATTTTTGACTGTTTGGCCAACCAGGAGCTGGATCCAAAACAGATCTGATTCTTGGAACTAAATGTACACAAAATGATCATCTGTAAAAAAAAAAAAAAAAAAGAAGTTGTGTGTTTTAAACCACCTCCGTCTATAAACTCGGCAGCTGTGAACAAATAGAGACATGGCTCCACTGTTCCTAATTTAATTAATAGAAATTAGTAAAGAAATTCTACATATATATATCTCTTAATTATAAAATCCTTATTCTGCCAGCCGACCTCTCCGATCCAACAATCAAGGCCTCTTGGTTGTTCCTCGCTCCCTTTTTAAATCTAGAGGTGACTGTGCTTTTGAGGTTGGTGCTCCGAAGCTCTGCAACAATCTGCCTACTGCCATAAGATCTGCTGACTCTGTGGAGTCTGCTAAAAACCTAGGCTCGCCGTCATTTAAGGTGTTGTTGCATGTTGTTATCCTCATGTCTTTCCTGTCCTCTCTCTATTCTCGTTACCTGTGCTCGACTCTACTCTGTGTTGTATGCATGCATGTTTGTTTGAACTCATTTTAAATTGCATCACATTAACTTTGTACCAAATTTGATCAAAATTGTGTTTTTATCTTTTTGGATTATGTGAAAGCGCTTTGTAACCCTGTGTTTTAAAAAGAGCTTTAGAAATAAACCCATTATTATTATTATTTTATTATTATTATTACTTGGCACAGCCCTGAATCAAAATACTGGCTGTTCATTTTGCAATCAGTGAGACTCATTGTCAAAAATTGTTCAAGTCGGCTTTTCATCTCATCCACAACCAGCGCTAGTAACCGTGACATGGGTTGCAAGAGTGTCTCTGGGAGTCTGTTTGCAATATTATGAGCTTTTTCTGCTGCCAAATGCTGCCCATATATGGGGTGACAATGACACCTGGAATAAAAACCTGCTCCTTCCTCCTCCACAGTCTCTGAGTAGGAGTGAAGAGGATGACAAAGCTCTCAGAATGTAGTGATTTACTGCAGATAAATGAATAAATAGTAAAGCTTAAGTGATTTATTTTGCATATCTGTGTGATGTATGTACCTTTTCAGGCTGGGGTGCGCTGAGGGCACGCTCTGTAGCAATGACAGGTGCTTTTACATTCAGCTCTGTAGACACGTCTGTTTCACCCGCCTGAGCCTGCACATCAGACACACAAACACACATTTTTCATTAATATAAACAGTACTACTAAAGAACTAGAGGTCACAAACTCAGGTTTCACGTGTAGCTTCATAATTAGACGCCCCCACATCTGAAACAATCCCAAGTTTCATACGATTGTAACCTCTGATGTGAATGTGTGAGACTCTGTTGCGTCAGATCAGTGAACATGTTTCATTCAGTATCTTACAGGTGGCGATTGGTACAACTAAGCATCTACAATTTATTCTTTAGATTCTGGGTTGATGTTAATGTGCAACAAATGCTATATACACACAGTATGTACCATGTACGGAGTGTGATTTAAATCTATGTTTCTGTTTATGTAATCTGCAATAAAGTGCTGCTAAAAAAGTACAAAAATATTAAGACACACATACTGTATTTGCTCATCTAGGAGCCTAAATACCACGTTGTGTTAACTGTGTGTTTGCCTCCTCACTCTCTGATATTCCTCCTTGGCTTTGCTGAGCAGCTCCAGGATGTCAATGGGCCGTGGTTCTGCAATGCCATTGGTTCTCCCTGGCTCTGCCTTCTCTGGTGATTTTCTCTGGGCATAGTCTGCTTCTTGTTTCACAATCCTGGCCAAGCAATTAAAGCATGAAATGTAGTTTAGACACAAAAGCTTTGCCACACTCCTCGAAGGTAGAGCTGCTTATGAAGCAAGCATTTAACAGGTGAAAAAAAAATAACTTAAGAGATAGAAGTACAAGATCAAGATGTTCCAGGACGACACTCATAGAAGACACAAACCATATCTGATGTAAGGTTGCCCTTTGAAGCTATCTCCTCATGCAGTGATACGCTGCCCCCAGTGCTCCTGCCACATGTGGAATGTTTCCTGAAGTTCCATGCGTTTGCGATTTCTCCATGGACCACGTACTTACAGACAGCAAAACACCAAATTCTGTGATAACGTGACTCAAACATCATGTTGGAGATCAATACTGGTGATGATCTATAGCTACAACCCAGAAACCAAACAGCAGTTGACAGAGACGAAGAAGGCACATCCGGTCAGCAGCACGACCAAAAGCATACTCGTCATTTCGTTTGACATTCACACGATTGTGTAATGTAAATTCATCCTGCAGGGTCAGACTGTCAACATGAGGTTTTACTATAATGTCCTGAGCTATATGAGGGAGAACATTTGGCCCAAAAGACCTCATCTGTGCCACATGCCATCAGGCCAAACCCCTCGCTCACAGCACGTTAAAAACCCACAGCTGCACCAGTACAATGGCTGCTCCCCAGCCACACTACTCGCCAGCTTTGCCTTATTTATTGCAATTTCTTAATCCTCACCAAAATAAAGCTCAATTTCAAAGGTTGCTGTTTTGATACAGTGCAGGAGATCCAACTCATGTTGCAGATAATACTTGATGTGGTTACAGAATGGGAATTTCCAAGACTGTTCGAAATGTGGCAGGAGAGCTGGGAGCAGAGTATCACTGCACAGGAAACTAATTGGAAGAGGATGGCAGGATAGGTTAGGTGTGGTTTGTGCTTTTCATCGGCTCAGTCCTGGAACTTCTTGATCACACTTTGTAAACACATGTTCCATTTCATATAAAAGCAGATAAGGCATGAAGATGTCAAACTACTTACTTGACCATGAGCTGAGCGATGCGTTGACAGTCCCTCTTGTCATAGAACCAAATACTGTAGATACCCACTGTTAAAAAAGACAACACAAATACCATATTTTATACTACGTCTACACTGGCCGTGTCATGTAAGCAGCATGAAATTATATTCATCTGATTTAGATCATTTAGATAAAGTGATGAATTACACATTAAAAAAAATAAATAAAATGCAACATCTGTGTCAGCCTACATCAACAAATGCATGGATGACATTAGCATCATGAAGTTCATCACCACCCCGGCCAACCAAAAACCCTGGATGACTGATGAAGGTAAAATGTTAAAAGGGACAGAACTCAGCCTTTAAGTCTGGTGACGACAAGGCACTGAGAACAGCGATAGCCAAGCTGAACCGTGCAATCCGAATAGCAAAGCGTAAGGTGTAATTCTATTGAACTGGATCTTTGATTCTGTGTGAAACTATCACTTCTAAATGATGTCTTTCAAAATAAAAAAAATCAAGTGCTATCAAGTGCCAAAGCAGAGTACAAAAATGAGTCACTGCAGCTGTAATGTAGAGCAAACAGCCGTGACTAACACCTCACTCAAAATCACCAAAAGGATCCTGCTTGATGTACAATAAAATGTTCAAAAAACTAAATATATAACAACAGTTTTTGCTGACACAATAGTTAATATTACTAATACTACATTGCTTGTGTGTTATATATGTGTTTGTGTGCGTGTGTGTGTCTGTGTGTGATGAAATACTGGCGTGTTCAAGGTCTCAAGAGGCTGAGGTAACCTAGCAACCAGATTGTTTGCCTTCTTGAAGCATCCAGTGCTACCTCAGGGAATATGAAGCGGTGTAAACAGGTGTATGTGTGTCTCCAAGTGCACGTCTCTCCAACGGTGTTTTCTAACATTGAGTGCACTTATCAGCCTTCTGCAGTGAGTTCTGCAGTGCTCAAAGAGGCTTGAAGGAATATTTCAATAACTTTTACTCATCAACATCTCTCTAAAGGATTAATTTCCCTTGTTTTGGACTCTTTGCTCTTCAATCAAACTTCTTCAATACAGCCTTCAACATTTCTTTTTCACAGGGAGGAGTCGTAGAACTGTCTTGCTGTCAGTTTCTTTGAAAGAATATACATCACAACAGCCACACCTTCACAGGAGCGCAAACAACAAACAGACTCCACTGGCTGACAAATTATTGTCTGAGAGCTACCACAGAATCCTCAGCCAGTAACTTGCCTGACTGAAAGGAGCAAATGGACTGAAGACAGCGTGAACTACACCAGCTGTCAAACCCAGCAGATGGAACAAAAACCAGGAGAGGATACAATCGGAGACAACTTGCTCTGAGCCGTCTTCCAGAGGGGACTATCTCTCCAACACAAACTGAGGAGCCGGTGTTTTATTCGACAACTTTGCACCATTCAACTTGTCTGCAACTCAACCGACTCTGAGGAATTAAAATGATTCCACCAGCACTTGGACTCAACTAAAACTACTGGAGAAGCTGCTCTGGCCTGAATACCAACAAGAAAATAACATCATGTCTTCCATACCAGGGAGGCTGATGGGCAAACCAAGTCCAAAAGGGGAGCAGTCTACTCTGACACTGACCTTAGCCATGCTATTTTTTCTCATAAGCAAACAAATGGGAAAACAATCAAATTCTTTATTCATTGCCTTGATGAAACTTGTGTTCAGACTTCTAATAGATTACCTAGGTGGCAGCGCTGTCAGTTACTTTTTGAAGATCTGAGGAAGTTTGTGGCAGACTTGCCGTTGAACTCTTTCCATAAGGCTGAAGAAATAAAGGACTTCATTGATTTAAGCCATCAGCAAAGCCACACCTTGTACAGTAAAATATATCAAGTAATAGTCTTATTAGTCAATCAGACCTGAAGACTTTTAGGTTGTTGGCCTAGTTCAGAATGGTAACTGTGGCCAAGCCAAGCTGAAACTGGTGCCGTCTGGTGGGCCGTTGTGAGGCCATGAGTGAAAAAGTGTTCTTACTTGATGCTCCAAGACATCAGAATGACTTCAAGCAAAAGGGAGAAGAAATGTTCCAGAGAACACTGGGGAGGTGTTTGTTCGGCATTTTCAGAGGTACTTTTTTGTTCTGTTATGTGTGTGTGTGTGTGCGTTTGTGAAACATCGTCAACTCCTATGTTTAGGAACTCCTGACTAATTTACAAACTTTGCTGCATTTTGAAATGGGGAAAACAGTAAATAAAACCCCTGCAGAAAACAGACATTGTCATTGAGCGAGTAGAAGGGTGCAAGAAATCTGCAAATACCACAATTATTGTTAAGCTGTTTCCAATTTTTTTTAAAGTTCATGAAATGAAGAATAACAGCACATAAACATCTGCACATATTTACTGTCTATTTGCTAAATGGGTTGTGCTGATTTGATTTCCCTGAAGCTAACCAAAATATGACTTTTTCCCAAACTTTTGACCAGTCTAGATAAAAACTGTCTACTTTCAAAAATATGCATGGTTTATATTTTTCTTTCACAGAATCCTCCATGAGTCAGTAGTGCTACATGGTGGAAAAATCCTACACAAACATATTATGTGGCGAAAAAATGATGCTTGACATTCCCACAGGAATTAGAGATTTTTGACATTTCGTACAACATTACAAGATGCTGTTTTTGTGTAATTTTGACGGTGTAATGGCAAAATTTAAAGCCTTAAAACTTGTCTGAAAGTGGTACTGAAGTAGGAATCACCTGCGACTCCCCTCCTATTGTGTAGTGGTGTAACAGACCACATTGATCCATGACCCCTATGGATTCCTACCAAAAGTTCATCAGACATGTGAATCTGAGATTAATTGCAAAGTTTAAGGATCATCAGCACGATCCCTAAATCTTGAGGCAGAGTTGCAGTGGCAAGATGTCCTGCAGTTGTGTGTTCAAATGAATTAGGCTAAAAGAAATTGACAGTGACTGTCATGGCAGTATATTTCTCCTTTTTATTAATTTATTTAATTACTTTTTGCTGTTCCTAAAAAATGATCAGATCCATGACTCAAAAGCTGTGATACAATCCACTGCACCCCGACTATAGTGGCTCTTGGCTTCTGATGTTTTGCTGCCTGGAACTTCTCAAGACACAGTTAACACTTAAGACATTTGATGTCAGACAATAAATAATAAAGAACATCTGATTTCAGTTCAAGCTAACACATGTCTCTCCTGTGTATGACATCGATTGTTTGGTGCTTTTGATTCTACAAAACACTCACAGTTGCCATTCCTGTAGAGCAAGAAGGGATCCTGCAGCTGGAACTCCAGGTCTTTATTGATCGGCTCCACAAGGTTCTCTGTACTCAGCCGATTCATGATGGTGAAGCCATGGTGAGGAGAGGCAGACCTTAAAAGGACAGAGAACACCTACAGTCACCTCCCTGATCACAACATCTTGTGCACTACATTTAGAAAAGCCTGGATTATTTATAATAACTGAAAAAACCCGATTTTTTATTTGTTTTTTTGACTTGCATTACTTTGTATTATTAACAAAATGAATAAACTAAAATAATTTTTATCAAACATGCATATCAGTAAATATAGAAATATATTTTAACAACTTATGAAACAAGAGTATTTGGTTGTGGAAGATGGCTTCTGAATAGATTTGTAAACCACGAAAAACAATTATAAGCAACACATCTTAAATACCAAATAGTCAGTTAATTAATTCCAAAATGAACTGATCTATTTTTAAAAAACAAACTATGGCATATAGCCATCATAAGTTACCAGACTCAAACCTAATCTAAGCTCAGATGCTTTAAAGTTGTTTATTTTGCTTGACCACGAGTCAACCTGAATGTAAAGAAAAAAGCCAACACGCTTTATATTGTAACCCTCATAAGACTCAATGTTTGGGGTAATAAAGGACTTATACGATTTGCAAATCAAAATTTTAACTTATTTTTTTCTTTAAAAACAGTATAACTTTCTTTTAATGTCAAAACTATGGACGTAAATAATCACATGGAGTCTCTCAAATGTTTGTTTACAAATACTGCGGCCTATACACGTGCAGAGAATACGTCAAATGACAGCGCCAAGAAACGTAATTTCTGAACACGAAAATAACCGTCATGGTCATCGTGTTGAATTCCTATGAGCACATCATGTACTTACCTCGCATATACAAACAGCGTGCCCTCGATTTCGGTCTTCTCCTGAAATGAAAAGTGACGCTGTGTCAAAAACAACAACCGCTAATCCAAACGTGCTGAATAATAGCTGTTAGCGTCGCTAGCCAACTTCAGCTAGCTGAGATAACAAAACGCTAGCTTGTTATCGTACGTATAACTAAATCACTAGCAGAATGACAGTGGTATCAGCCGCATGTGAACATTAGCTGGACATCTTTAACAAACAGCTTAACGAATACTAACACGTATCTTAGCATTTTCTTGTTTTTATCGAGAAGCTAGCATGCTAACTCAACACTTAGCTTGACAGCTTTCTACGAAATTGTTTCGGGTCTTTTCCAAACTTCCTTAGACACTTACCCATTCGTTCGCTTTGGAGTTGAAATTGTAGAGAGCCACCTGGCCGGTAACGTCGAGCAGTTTGGTTATGTACGGGTCTTGTCTCTGCAGAGCGGCTAAGCTCATCATCTGTCCAGCATTAACGGTCTCCATCTTGGATGTGATTGTTGCTCCCGCACGGACGGATTTCTGCGGACTCCTATAACTTCCGCTGCCCCCGGAAGTCACGGCTGTCTAAAAGTTCCCAAGAGATTTATGTATTTGTTCCGCAGAGATTATACTCAATTGCAATTTAGGTCATTCGTAATTTGTTAGAGTGCCGCTTGGAAAAAAAAAATGTTTGTAGGATATAGCAGTGGTTTTTATGAGATTTGAGCGAATGTGCTTTCTAAAAGCAAATAAGCTACATAAAAAAAACAATAATTCAAATAAAAAAAAAAAACAACTTCATTTGATAGCAAAAGATATAAGTCAAACAATAATGGACAATAACTTGGTCAAACTATTTGCTAACATTAGATTAAATCAAAAGCAAGTGATGCAACAAGTTTGTGTATTATAATAAAATCCTAAGGAAGAGGAGACTTTTTTTTTGCTTTTGTACACTACTACATCATGTTTAAATCAACTTCAGAGTTTTAGATTTTCACAGCAGCGAACTAAAGACTGATCAAAATAAATAACAATAATTAAATCCATCCATCTGCTAAATCCATACGTACATGCATGCCTACATGCCACACACATGCATACATGTGAGTACCACAGGGGTGCGCTGCTTTACTTCTATTCACTTTGAATCTGAGAACACTTGTGCTCAGACCACAAGTAAAGAGCTTTTTTACTTGTTATAGTGTCTTTTCTTAATGTGTTGTCCAACTGAGATCACGAGATTTACATAATTATGTTAAATCTTTTATAGTTTACATAACCTACCCAAAAATGGAATAGTGGCAGTGATAAAAGTGTCCATGCTGGATATTTGTACACTTATTGAAATCAGTTTGATAGAATGCTTTAATACCGCAGCTGATCGTTTGTTATTCGGCCCAGTTGAGCTGAAGCTGCCTGCCTCACCTACCTCTGTTTAGGGAACATTGGAGCAGGGATTATAATCGGAGGATTACGCGCTACCGTGAAACTGTTATCCTCCATCCAGGCACAGGTAATCCAATCATTGTTAACCTTCCAGCACAGCTCCAACAACTCATTTCCTCTCGAATCGCGGCGGAGTGAGGGCAGAAAACGGCGCTATGAGGCCCCAGAGAAGAGGCAGGTGACAGAATGCCGTTCATTATAAGGGGAAGACCCCTGAGGGGTAAGTAAAGAACCTACTCAGACAGTGGGAGGGATGTGATGGGGGACATGTGCTTGTCTTTAGATATTTTACTGGCAGGAGAAAGTTACAGTAATCATAATCTATTGTTAACTATGTTTCTTTATTTATTATAATGCGCCACAGTTTGTGATATCACCTCTAGAAATGTGTAACAGGCAGATTAAGGCTCGTGTGTTGTTGGCCTACATATTACCAAATCACTTTTTCGAACATACAAGGGTGAACTTTCACCGATCAGACTTTGGGAGGCTTTAATGAGTGTGTTTGTCTTAATATAACTACATGTAGCAACAGATTTCCTCTCGGTCTCATTGTTGTTTGTCATCATCTCTACAATTTAAGAGCTGAATTCGCTGATTTGATTCACTAAATGTCCATTTTGTTTTGTCTTTTGGATGTGTTGGCGTGCGTAAAAATCACCTTTGACAACATTGGGCAGCTGTGCCAAATATATGCCTCTTTTCATTCCCTCTTTGGAAGTTTCCGGCAACAGGTGCGTTTCACGCGCTTCTGTGCGATGCGAGGAGGTGCAGCCTACGTGCTCGCTCCAACTAGTTATCAGTCCGCCGCCAGTCTCACTGGGAATAATTGACAGCAGCGGATTGACTGCCGCTGCCAGCGCGTCCTCTCCGATACGCCGTGAATCTGCAGACAGGCACCCGGATGTGGCGAAAATGTTTGGCGCTCCTCTCAGGGTCTGCGCTCGGAAAACATTTTATAATTCAGGTTAACGACTCTGCTCGGGTTTGCGCCTTCGACGTCTTTGGATGTTTTTTCCAACGATGAGTTGGATTTAAAACGGATATTTTCGATGTGGATTCGAGGATGCAAGAAGCAGATGAACAGTCTGAAGGTAAAAAAAAAAAAAAAAGGAAAAAAAAGAGAAGCCGTGCGTGGAGCGCAGGAGGAGAGTTGGAGCGCTGAGGGGGCGAGAGCGCTCGTTTGGTTTATTCTTTGGATGTCTGCTTTAATCCATGTGATAATAAGCTCTGAGTCGTGTCTGCTGCTGATATGTTTTTTCCTCCAACTTATTTCAGCGCAGAAATTGTGCGTTAACAATGTTCCAGGCTGCGTTATTGTCAGGACGGCAGTTCCAGATCCACTGGAGAGCGAGTTGTAGTTCTCAGAAAAATGGTTGACTATGTGTGGTCTAATATATGGTCAAGTGGTCGTTTTGGAACCATGTGACAGGCTGATGCGTTGGATTTCCTCCAGCATATAATAAATCAACTTTAAAAGTGCCCCAAACAAACACTGTGCTGGTTTAAGAAGCAACAAGATGCCAAAAGTGAAGTCAGGAACAGCAGCCAGAAAGTCAACAGTTGTTTTTCCTGCATGGTGCGACAGATGTGCAGCTGGAGTGATGGGATAATTCCTGTTCATGTGTCAGACAGACTGCCAGCAGCGTTAAATAACAGTGTGCACTTGTTATTTTGCACCTTTGGTGATGTTGTGTGGCGGAGCGAGGAGGGTGGCTGCCCCCTCATTCACAGAGAAACTGTGAATTTAACTTGGAATTTCACTTTAAGCATCTGATCAGACGAAGGTAAAGGTAAATTGAAATGATAGGGACATTTTTCTTTCACTCAGTATGATATCTTTATATTTCAATTAGTGTGGTTTTATATTATAATTTTATTTGAATAGACAAACCCCGACCTTCATAAAATGCAGTAAAAATGATCAAACTGCTGGAGTTTTGGCATCAGTCAGAGATCTTAAACCAAGCAGTTCTAGGGCAAATTCTCTGCAACCAGTACTTTCTAAAACTCTATTTGTTGCCCCTTTGTACCAACCATTCAGAGATTCATCCATCTTTTACTTTATGTCTTTGTCACAGAGATGGAGCAAGTATTCAGATCCTTCATTTAAATCCTGAGTCCTGCACTTTAAATTAAAGTAAAAGTGCACAAGTTTTATCACAAAAATGCACTTAAAGTATTAAAAGTTAAAGTTCTCAGTGCAGAAAATGTCCTCTGTGACTGACATTCTATCCTGTATTACACCATTTGACTATTAGTAATTGTGCATCGAGGTAAAAGCAGGATTTTACTGTTGTAGTTGGCTGAGATGGAGCTCATATGTGTTTTATGAAGCACTGCAGCTAATGCCTTTTTTAATTATGTTTTAATCTGCTGATTATATCTTGTAGTGATTGGTTGGAAGTTTAAAAATTAAAAACAAAAGCTGTAATCTTCACATTTGTAAAAGCTGGAACCAGGAAATATTTTTCCCAGGAAACATGACTGAAAGGATTAGCAAAATATCTGCCAATTAATTTTCTATTAGTCATCTAATTGTTTCAACTGTATAAAATATTGTGTGGTTATTTAATAACAATAAAACATGAGCTTCTCATATGTTTTGTGAGCAAAAATCTTAATTTGTAGAGTCACTAAAGCTGTCAGATAAAAGCAGTGAAACAAAATGTGCAACAATTCTCCCCAAATGTAGTAAAGTTGATGTACAAAGTGTCATTACAAGACAAATGTTCACCTGAGTACTGAGTTACACTACAATCCTGCACATAGCTGACATGAAGTCACCAGGATGACAGTTTTTTTTGTTGCTGTTGAATGAAACAAAATGCTGGTTAGTCTGTTGTTAACAGCAGCCTCTGATGTGACTCTGCTGTGCAGCTGCAGTGTACCGAAGTGACTGTGTCAAGGGCACTGTCTTTTTCACTCATGGTCTGCATTGATTTTAATGACTCTCTCTGTCTCTCTCATTCATGCAGCCTGTCCTGCTCTCCCTCTCTCGCTCTCTGCCTCTTCCACACTCCTTTCATCCTCTTCCTCTTTGTCTCCCCACCTTTCCGCTCAGCTTAGTTCTGGCTGATTTCCTGGTGGACAGTTACAGACATTTTCAGCAAAGTGGTCGTACGAGGCAGGATTTAAATATGAAACTGAGCTGATCTTATCTGCATAAATTGCAGAAATAAGTAGGTCAAGTCCCATTGTTGATGATCTTTAGATTTATTTTCAAGTAAGTCCAAATGAAATTGTGGCCCAGGAGATGAACACTTGCAATTTTAAGTGAAAAATACAGACACAGCAAGGAAGCGTTTTGTACTGAAAACACCAGAGCCACTAATGTTCATGTGTTTGTTTTGTGGTCTGTTTTGTTGTAAAAACCATGATCTCTGTTGAGAATTTAGGCTTGTGTATTACTTTTATTACAGGGTGTCTGACTTTTGTATATTGAGTTTCATATTCTCTTATTTATTCATCTTTATAATTTGACATCAACAGTAGGCAAAGATTCCAGCATAATTTTTAAAAACTACAACAACATGCAAGAAGCTCATGAGAGATGTCAATGCACGAAAGGTGTTGATTTATAAATAAATGTATTTTACTACTGTAATGTATGACGTCTGACAAGTAAAAAGAAGTCGTACAGAAATGCCAAGGACTAACCGAGCTCATTACAAGCCAAGCCCAGTGCTCGCTCAAAGGGAATCCAAAGGATGGTTTGGATTTGTCAGTTTTTCTATTTGCATCAGAGAAGGTAACCTTAATATGTGAAGTGGGAGGAGATGACATATGTTGTGAGTTGGCTTTCTAGAAATAAAACTGCATTAAATTGAATTACATAAATGTGCCTCGTTAAGCACACGGACAAATTTACTTTTCAAATATAAAGTTGAAAATCAGCTCAGGACACATATTGGTAGCACTTCTTTACCAAACATGTTTGTGCTTGTTGTTGCCTTTCGTTTGACCTTTGACCTCCTCTCAGAAGCGTTTTGTCCTTCTGTTTGAAAAGCCCCTTTTTAAGAAATATGAGGTATTGTTACGTCCTTGTAGGCTTGTTCTTCAACAGTTTGTGGTGAAATTACATCTAATTTTGAGTCACTCATGTTAAAGCTGCTGTGTGAAGATTTTGAAATTGGTCAGTTTACTGTCCCCTAGTGGTTGCATCAGAAAGATCCAGTGGAAGGCACCAAAGTTTTTATAATTTTTTTGTATATACTCTATTCATCCCATAAGAGGAAATTCTCTTTCCGCATATCCCAAGAAACTGGGGTCAGCCATACTAAGAAGCCCCTGGAGCTGATAAAGTTAAGGGCCTTGATCAGTAGCAGCTTGGTGTGCTGGAGCTTGAACCCCAGACCTTCAGTAGTAGTAATCACCGAGCCACCACTACCTGACAGTGAAATGCTGGACAAAATGTTAGTTTCTTGTCATACTGTAACATCAGCGGCTACAGGGGAACCAGGTCGTTTTTATTTATACTCACAGCCTCTTAAAGTTTCACCCTTTTTCGTCCCTCTGCCTCCAGGGGCACAGAATGCCGGCAACAGAAGGACCACTCCCTCCACTGACGCCTCAGCACCCTGGTCAGAAAGCCAAACTCGTCTGCACCAGCTCCATCCACCCGAACCCCTGCAGGCTCCGGCCAGCACCGGCAAGCCCGTCGGTTCCTCCTATGGCCTCCTCGGGGCCAACAGCGGTCCTCCGGGCCCTGGTGGCCCCGGCTCCGGTGTCAGCCCGGTCCTTGCTTGGCATGCCGCCATCAGCGCCGCTCGCCAGGCACAGGGCGACACTGCAAAGCCCGACATGAGCTCACGGCCCTCGGTTTGCACCACTGGAGTAGCTCCCGCGGGCTCACTGGCTCAGAGGAAGAGGCAGCAGTACGCCAAGAGCAAAAAGCAAGGAGGATCCACCAACAGCAGGCCGCCCAGAGCTCTGTTCTGCCTCACTCTCAACAACCCGATCCGCAGGGCCTGCATCAGCCTGGTGGAGTGGAAGTATCCTTTTACCCCAGAGTCAGAGGTGCTGGTTGGATGTATTGACCAACAGATGACTGAGAATGGATTATGTTAGTTTGTATGAATAGATTGCTTCATGGATTAGTCTCTGGGTGGCTGGAGGAGTGAGTGATGAATGTTTAAATGAAGTGAACTAATGAAATAAAGCTTTAGGGTCAGACTGGAAATTACATGTAGGCTGCAAGTGCTGGACTGTAACTGGAAGGCAACTGTGAGGAAGCTTCAGTTGGAAAAATAAAGCACTAGATACATGGACAAATGAATCAATAGACAAACCAGTACATTTATGACCTAAGCCAATATATGCAATTTCCACTGACAAAGAAGCCTTAAAGGTCTAGTGTGTAGGATTTAGAGGCATCTAAATGCAGAAATAAATATATAAGATGCTGTCTGAATCCAATACTTTTCCTACTGTTAGTGTGTACTACAGCTGCCCTCACAAAGTGTGCACTGATGCATGCAGCATGCGTCTAACTGGGACTACATCAGAATACTGCACCTTAAACTTTGACCATCGCAGACTATAGTGCCAAATGAGCTCCCATCTGTTTGTGCTCTGCCAGCGACTCGCTTGTTTATACTCGTGCATGACACCGTGAAGTAGCTGCACAGAGGACTGTGGGTCAGAATGGCTAAAAAAAAAAAGGTGCTGCAAACTCTGACTGAATGTAGTAGTACATGCAGGTGTTTACGGCATCATGCAATTGACATGCTATATATTGGGATATCGTAAGTCATTTTCTGGCAAACTAGATGATGTGAAAGTGTGGAAATTGAAAGGCAGTCTTCGTATTCATAACTTCTAACTGTAACTATGCTGTTTTCTTTTTAATATCAAGTGCTTTCAGCTCCACAATAAATGAGTTTGCTCATTTTAAATAAGCACTTCTGTCATCACCTGAAGAAAACAGTGACTTTTAAAAACCATCACTTTTCTTTTTAATGCTTCTCTTTGATATTACTGTGTTCCTTAACAGCCTCCTCTCAGACCGTTTGATATCTTCATACTGCTGTCTATTTTTGCCAACTGTGTGGCCTTAGCCATCTACATCCCTTTTCCTGGAGACGACTCCAATTCTACCAACCAAGAACTGGTGAGTAGTAACAAGGAGGCAAGGCTCAGTCATGTGATCAGTTTGCTGAAATGTGCTGCACTTCTGTATGAATGCACATGACAGCAGGATATAAAGTAAGATGGTACAGATTGGATTTTCTGTTGTTGGGAAGTGTGTGGAGCCGTATTGGACTGTCAGAAGAACGTGTTATGATAATGCTGGGCTTTGTGCATAAGTATGCTTTAAAGCTATTCTGTAATATGGATGAGTAATTCTGGCTGGTATCTTGTGTTTTAAATTGAAAATATGCGCATAAAAAGGTGTAACAATAGGGATATTGATAAAGTGTTAATATAAAAGGGCTTATTTGGTTCACTCTGTAGTGTCCCTGTGGTGAAAGCATGGACTTAGATGCTTTCAGATGTGGCCTTAAGTTGTGTAGTCTTGATGCTACAGCACTTGCCTCAGTAAGTTTTAATTAAATAGACCTTTTCTCTGCAGTAAAATTAGCAAAATGTCATTTAGGACCTTAAACTCAATAAATGTTGGCCTGAGTTGTCTTAAATTGTTGGTTCTTCTACATATCTCTGTGTCTAGAACCACACTGTGTCACTTAATTCTCGTGGTAGTTTTAGTTTTTATTGTTTTAGATTTTTGCCTCCATATAAATACTTGAATGGAAAGTTTGTGCTCAGTCGATGAGAAATTATAATAAAACTTCATAAGCGGCTTCCCACTACTGCGACAAATCCAGATCTTCCATTGGTTTCATTGGATTTATGTTGGATAGTTGTGATGGCACAAAACCTAATACAATTCTGCAGATGCTTAATGTGCAGCAGAGGTTAAATTATTATTATATTTTTTTTTAAACCTGCACACTGTTCAGCTGCTGTAGCTGCTTGTGCCACTTTGTGTCATCAGCCAGATTACGCACAACGGCTACACAATGGCTACACAATGGCAACGCTCTTGCATGAGAGGGATTGGCTGGATGCGTGAGCTTCATCGGAGGGCTTTCCCGGCAATATTTGGATAGATGTGTCGGGTTTCATTGTTCTGTTGACACACACAAACACAGATCCGGCAGGTCATCTCGCTGTGTGTCACAGCAGCTCCACAGAGGAGCACCGAGGTGAAAACACAGACTCAGAGATGGAAACCAGTTTACTGCCTCCATAACCATAGTGTAACGATTATCACTTGACAAAACAGTCGGATTAAATCATTTATCTCATGTGATGATGTAATGTGCTCGAATGATGGTCAGATATACGGCTATAGACTATCATTGTGTCAATATTTTAGAAAGATATATGTAGGGACAGATGAAGATTTATTTGTGTGCAGAACAGACTCTAAATGTTGCACCTGATGAAATGTGAGTCTCAGTCCTTTATGGCTGCACCGTTAATAGTGAATGATAACGTTATCACACAGGAAACGGCTCCGTAAGGGTGCTTGATCTGATACAGGCAGATGATAACGTCGGAGAGGCAGCGGCGCTTGAAAAGCAAAACAGAATGATGTGTAGACGACCTGCAGCTAGGACTGATGCTGCATCTTGTGTGACTGATCTCAGCTGATGAGACCTCTTCTATGGACTATGTGGGCATAAATACCATACACATGTTTGACTTTTCACGATAATGACATGAGTTTGTAAGAATGTGCAGGTCATAATTTGTGTTAGTTCATTACCATTTGGTGACTCACGACAGAAAACGCCTGTATGTGTGTGGCTTTAAGGCAATCAGACTGAGAAATATTTTACACATTGTTTAGTGTTGGCAGAATTACTTTCATTGCACTGTGTTGAACAGATTCAGACGCTGTTCCAAGAGGATTGAGCCTTCAATTTACACTAACAGAGGATTGACGGGTGTATAGCTTCTTTAAAACTACAGCATAATTGGATTTCATTTCGATTTAACTGCAGTGTGTTGCCATTAGATGGTTGCATCGTTTGACATCAAAGCTTTCCTTTGTTCAACAAGTCATCAACTTAGAATTGCAACTCTGAGGCTGATGCAAGTGTTTTCTTTTTGTCCAGTGGTTCACATCATAATTGTGGTTTGAACAATATTACATGATTGCAGCAACACACACAGTTCAGGTTCTTTCATTAGCACGTCGCCTATTAACCTGTAGTGTTGTCCTTTAACCCTCTTAACCAAGCAGTTTGTTGGTGTTTGTTGCTACTGTCACATTTTTCCTCCCTGTGGGCTCATTTTCACTGCAACATCAAGAACAAACGAGAACTCCAAAGTGTCTCTGGTGCAGTTTAACAAAGCTATAATGCCTTTAATAATCTGATACTGAATGTTTGATTCTAGACATTAAGAATATGTTATTATTTACGTTTTTCATTTGTTCCAATACTTGTAAGCACAGCCTGCAGTTCGTTTTGTGTCCAAATGCGGCGTCGTTTTACATGTTTTGGTATATTTTTATTGTATTTTTGGCAGTTCTTAATCCTCTTAGTGGCCGTTTCCCCTTCTCTTTTGGTCTTTTATTATCTGATTTAGGTCATTTTTACAGTAAGTGTTTAGTGTACAAGGTTTATATTTGGCAAATTTTGAAATGAGACAGATAGAATGAAAGGATTTTGATTAAATATCGCCATTTTTGCTACTCTTCCTGACCAATGCAAGAATAGTTTACAGACAGTTGGAAAGTTGAAAATCTGACAGTTTTCTCAGTTTTTCCAGTTTCCGGCTCTGATAAATTTTGCAATTTTCACTCATTTTTAATAATAACATATCTTTCAAACCTGCTGATGGATTTTGGGGTTCCAGCGTTAATTAGGATGAAGATTAGAAGAGAAGCCAGAAGTTCGTGAAGTCCTGTTAAGGCCAGAGAGGGTCAGTTAGGGGGTGAAAGAGCACCGACAGAGAGAATGATCCACCGTGATCAGCTGAAACTGGAGATTTAACCTCCCACCCTCCACATTTTCCTAAACTCTCAACGTCAAGTTGAATCCGTGTGGAACAGCAGACATCCGGGCCTGTCACTGTAACTCCTCTCACTCTGTCTGACTGGTTCTGATGGGAAGGACCTCGGGCATCTGGTTGTCCAAGGAAGTCTAAATTTGTTCAACCTGTCATGGAGATAGCTGACAAGATTTGTATATAATTGTATTTGTGTATTTTGGATGCGTTCACAGAACAGGACTGGGCTGAAAGAGACAGACAAAACAAGCCACATGGTGACTTGTAATGACCTCTTATCATTCAGAAGCATCTGTTTTTTAACGCGCCATGTGCCTGGAAAAACAGTAACAGCGACATAAAGTTGTAGCAGATTAAAAAAACACCAACGATTAAGGCATCACACATGAGTGTTTTAGCTGCACTGTGGAGATGAGAAATAGCTACGAGGTAAGCTTGAGCTTTAGTAAATTTATTCAGTCGACTTCACATGAAATCATTTCACCTCAGACTGTTTTGCCAAAAGAGCAGCATACATTTTTTATAGCTTAATCCTACAAGGGGAGCAGTGTCCTCAGAGGACTTTGTCATGCAGTGCAAACATTTTTTTTTTCACCGAGGCTGGCAAGGGACAGTCTTAGCTTTATAGTGCAGTTTGTGTGTGTTTGTGTGTGAGCCGAGTTGAGAGACGCGCACAGAGAAACGTAGCCTGTTCCATCAACAGATGGGGATTATCCACGCTGTCCAAGTCTACGCTCATCACTCACTGCACAATGTACAGTATGTGTGAGCGAGGAAGAGAAAGTATTTTATTTTTTGCCTCTGTGTTCTGTCAGAGAGAATTTAGGAGTCACATTGTTTTTTTGTTGCTTTCAGAGATCAGAAGTCTAATCATCCTGAAGTAGTCATTAATCTAAAACTGAATCTAATCGTATTTTACTGCAGGAGTTGAGATGAGATTTGCTCACGCTTTGGTGTGAAAGTCCTGGTTTCATGGTGGTTGTTGTTGAAGCGATTTACAGTAATGTGGTTTAGCTGTTATTTGATTAATGCTCTGATTCCTCAGTGAATGTAATAATAGTTGTTTTGTTTTTTTAAACATGTCACAATGAGCATGAAAAAGACACATTTTTATTTATGATGCTTGCTTCTTTTACCTAACACTTCAAAACCCCAAAACTATTCGATTTACTTACTAAAATATCACAACTTGCAGATGTGTTCTTATTTAAAACAGCAGTGAAAGATATATGTATGTAATTAGAGACTCACAGTTTCATATGACTCCATTTCAATTTGAATTCCTTCATCGTTGGATGTTTTCCAGAGTTACTAAGTAAAAACTACTAATAAAGTTTATTTTCATAATATTCTTTTACAAAGGCCGTTGAACTTGATGCCAACATTGTACTTAATTAAAAGTAAATATTTACTGTCAGCGAAATGTTTTTAGGTATTACAATGAAAAGAACTCATAATGCAGAATTAGTCCTCTTCAACAATGTTATAATATTTTAAGCCTCCATTAACATGATTTTTGACCTCCTGGGAGCAGCAGAAACAAGCTTTAAATGCAATTCTGACATGTGTTTTTTTATATTCAGAAACAACAACAACAACAACATAATTGTGCAGTATTCACTTTGTCCCCCTGCTGTGGTTGCCAACAATTCTTTAGGGACATATTTTACTTCTTAGGTGCTAAATGCTCCTCTGTCTTTACCAGCTTGTTTTGTCTTTCTGTTGTGTTGTGCTGAGCAGGTAGTTTACACTGGCTCTATCTGAGCTTGTTGCTGCGAACAACTACCTTCTGTTATTAAAAACTAGACTGAGAAAGCATTGAGAGTGAACCAGACATTGAAATGTTACATAACACAGTAGCATTATTCATAGAGGAAAACATAATAGAGGGGAACCTGCAGAAAATAATGTTAAATCTGCTTTAATATGTTACTGTAATACTGATTGAGGATGACTACTTTATACTCTTTTGAGGAGTTTCATTCTATTTTATTACCTGACTATACGGATCATTACTGCAAACATGCAATATGCGATAAAATTGTTAAATATTGCGATAATGATATGACTTCTGATAGCTGAATGGGC